GGGGGTGAGGAGTGAAGGCATCTTGCTCCCCAGATTATCGGTGTTCACGAATTTAGGGGTCCCAGGTGGGAGGCTCACGATCCAGCTCCTGACTCCAAGTCCGAGAGCCCGCTCTGCCCTCTGCTCCCATGGCCACAGCAACTTGCCTCTCAAGCGAAAGAGAGACCCCCTCAAGACAGGGAGACATCACTCACCAGTCGTTCAGACATGGGGGTCTTGTCATCGTCAGGCAGGTGCTGCTCCAGGGCAAGGACAATGCAGTTTGCTATGATGGTGGCTAAAATCATATATTCAAAGGGAGTACGGAGGAATTAAGGAAAATCCTTCCAACTTGTTGAGGTGCACAGCAAAACTCGGCAGAGGGTCAGGGGGGTCCCCATACACCCCCTGCCCCCTCCCCCATTCTCAACACCCCCCCACACACACACCACCACAGAGCATTTGTTACACTCAATACACTCACACTGACGCATCATTATCACCCCAAGTCCAGAGCTTACGTCACGGTTCACTCTCGGCGCCCAGCATTCAGGAGGTCTGGACAAGTATACAATGAGACGTATCCACCGTGAGATGCCCTACGGAGTAGTTTCACTGCTCTAAAAACCCAGCAGGTAAGTTTGTGAGAAAAACGCAGACGTGATTCCTCTACCGCACCTCCAACATCCAACGAACAAATATTAATTCAGCACCCCACTGGGGGCCAAGCCCTGTTCTGGGCAGTGGGGACACACCTTACAGCCAAACAGACAAAAATCTCTGCCCTTGGGGCACCTGAGTGGCTCAGTCAGTTAAGCATCGGATTCTTGACCTCGGCTCAGGTCATGATCTCACGGTTCATGGGATCGAGCCCTGTGTCGGGCTCTGTGCTGACAGCACGGAGCCTGCTTGGGATTTTCTCTCTCCCTCCCTCACTGCCACCTCCCCTGCTTGCATTGTCTCTCTCTCTCAAAATAAATAAATACACCCCCCCCAAAAATTACAGTAGTCAGGTCTGACACCGAAAGCGTGAGTTAACAAAAGAAAATACAGATAAACCAGACTTCATCAAAATTAAAAACTTTTGTGCATCAAAGGGCATTATCAAGAAAGTGAAAAGGCGATGCACAGAATGAGAGAAAACACTTGCAAATCATATCTCTGATAAGGGTCTGGTATCCAGAATATATAAAGAACAATCACAACTCAACAACAAAAAGACAAACAGTCCCATTAAATAATGGGCAAGTGGACTGAATAGATATTTCTCCAAAGAAGATATTTAAATAGCCAATCAGCACACAAAAAGATACTCAATATCCTCAGCTGTTAGGGAACTGCCAATCTAAACGCAATGAAATACTGCTCCGTAGCCACTAGAGGAAACAAAACAAAACAAAACAAAACAGAACAGAAATCAGTAAGTGTTGGCAAGGATGTGCGAAACTGGAACTTCTGTGCATTGCTGCTGGGAACGTAGAGTGGTGCAGGCTTTTTAGAGACAACCGTTCGGTGGTTCCTCAAAAAATATATACGGAATTACCGTACGATCCAGCGATATATATCCTGGGGACACACCCCGGGGGATGGCAAACAGGGCACCGAAAGGCACGCTCATGGCAGCAATACTCTCAAGGGCCAAGAGGTGGCAACAACCCCCACGTCCCTCGGTGGAGGAACGGGCGAACACAACGTGGTCTGTCCCCGCAGCGGGATATTACCCCGCCAGAAAAATGAAGTGGTAATACACGCCACAGCGTGGACGGACCTCAAAAGCGTAAATGCGGTGTCAAAGAAGCCGGACGCAAGAGACCGCGCGGCGTATGATTTTGCGCATGTAAAACGTCCAGAACAGGCAAATCGATGGGGTCAGGAAGTAGACCGGTGGTTGTCAAAAGCTGGGGGAAGGGGTGGGGGAGTGACCGCTTATTGGTTTGGAACTAGACAGATCGTGTCCAAGAAACACTACGAACGTACTAAATGCCACTGAATTCGTCACTTAAAAATGGTTAATACGGTCATGTGAATTTCACCTCAATACAAAAAAAAAACACAAAACCAATATGGTGGTCAGGGCAGGCGTCTGAGAAGCCGACCTTCCAAGATCTGACAGAGGGAAGGGGTTGTCCACGCGGCTATTTCCAGAGGTACAAACTGTCCAGGCACAAACTCCTTCCTGCATCGCGGGGACGCTCCTCTGGGTTGACGAGGCCGCCAGAGTCCCGCTGGAGCGTCTGTACTTGGGGAGGGTCTGTCCTGCTTCTGTTCACATTAAGGCCTGATCTGCTGATCAGGTGCTGAGCTGGAATGTCTCGTCTCCCTCCCCGCCTCATGCCAGACCCACAGAGGCACCCCTGACCAATCTCTGAGAAGGGGGTTACAAGCGGGTCACGTGTAAGGAAACGGGACGTCGGTGGGGAAAGCCACAGGGTGTCGGTTACTCTGGAGCAGAGCTCCCCTACCTGCGGTTCACTGCAGGGCGGTGAGTAGAGCCCTGGGCTCCACCCACCGGATGCCAGGAGCATCCCCCCCTCTCCAGCTATGACAACCAAAAATGATCTCCAGATAGTGCCAAGTGTCCCCCAGGAACACGGAAACCCACTGTTCTGCAGAAGGATCAAAGAGCAGGTGTTGGTGAGGTTGGTCACATGAAACCGCTGGGCTCCGCCCAGTTTTCTATGTTGGAAGCTTAACTTGCCTCGTTCCCTCTTTGGGCCCTGAAGTTAGGTCTGGCATTTGGGGAGCTCCATAAAACCAAGGGATCTTATAGGCTGGACTCACTTCCCAGGTGGGGAGAAGGAAGTCTGAAACAGACAACCCGAGAGCAAGAGTCTAAGTAAACCAGGAAAACCAGGCCTTCTTTGTCACCAGCTTCGGCCTTTGCCTCCAGCTCACAGCGGCTGAGCTGCGCTCCGTGCACACTCTGAAAAGCAAATCTGACACTCAGGGCAATTTGGGGAGCCAACAAAAGCCGGCCCTGCCGACGAGCGCCTCTGATTGGCTTCCTGCCTCCGAGCTGACAGTCATTAGGAGCACAGAGAACAAAGCTGGGCTGTGTTGCACAAATACTCCATTCTGCCTCACCCTGCAGCCCAGAAAATAAGAGACAATATTTGTATACAGAGAAGCAACGCCAAGCCCTTCCCTGGCCTCCCTCGCTGAGGCTTCTGAAGCCATGATTTGAATCTGATGATTTCCCTTCCCTTCCCCACCAACTAGCTCCTTGCCCGCTTCGGCACGGAGCTGCTGGCTCCCTCCTGGCGGGGAGGGGGGGAGGGGGTACGTGGCCTCCTGCCCCTTAACAGCTGGGATGTGACTTCCTTTCCATCAGACTTGAGCTGAGGTTCCAGGAAGAGTCCCAGAAGACTGGCAGCAAGCAGCATCTTTCTGGGCTGCGTTCTCAGGGTTTCAATTGCCCAGTGTCGCCTGGATTTCAGACCCGGGGCCCTCTGGGTATGGTGATGAAGCCTTAGTCAGCATGGGGAAGAAGAGGAGGAGGCTGCCCGCTCCTACCTTATTTCTGTTTCTTATTTCTCGTCCAACGTGGTAGTACTGGGTATCAGGTGTTACCTCCTTCCCCCTCCACGCACACACAGGCCCCGCCAACGTCCACAGACCTGCCCCAGAAGGGACCCCGCGACGCTGACCTCATACCCTCACCGGCTGCCTCCTTCAGGAATGCAAAGTCCCGGGCCCCTCGCTGACCTGCTGAGTCAGAAGCTGCATTTTAGCAAGACCTTCGGCGGGGGTGGGGGGTGGGGG